ACCTCTTGCGTACAAGGCCGCCCACGTGGATGTAGGTTGAGCGGCGGCTGCCCCCACCCCCGTGTGTCATATCGACCCACTTGCACACAGCCAAAAGGCAAAGAGGCAAAGAAGAGAGGAAGGGAACAGCCAAATGAAACAAATAGAACAGAGGGAAACAAGATATATCTATCTATCTATCTATCTATCTATCTATCTCTATCCGTGTGTGTATGCGTCTGTGTAGGTGCGCGCCCCAACTCCCCCCCTTCCCGATCTACGTGTTGCTGAGACAGTTAAACCGAAGGTCGATCTACTTGTCAGGCGGTCGCAGTGTGTGTGCCCGACACACACAGAGAGAGAGAGAGAGAGAGAGAGAGAGAGAGAGAGAGAGAGAGAGAGAGAGAGAGAGAGAGAGAGAGAGAGCCGCACTGGTTTACCCTTCACCTTGCTTTTCCATCGCCACCACCGTCGCCATCACCTTCACCTTATCATTTGATCCTTTGATGGATCTCCGTCGTTCGAGGTGATCGCCGGCCACAGGCCACCTGCTCAGCGCGACACGCCCACCACACACACTGTGTACACTCTCGATCTACCAGATAGTCTGAAATGACATTTCAAACCTTCAATTTGACATTGCACTGTAACATCATAGTAATATAGTAATATTGCAACCTAAATAGATTGGCAAATACCCACTCGACCCCAGAGGAATCGAACCATATGCCCGTCGGCGACACCTACCCCGACTAATTTGAAAATATAAATCAGACCGCCTTCTTCTTCCCTAATTCTTCGACAGATTTCCAGCTTATTACCTCTTGTACCTGCCAGTCTTCCCGATTTTAAAATTTCCATGTTCACGCAGCGAAAACGACCGTCGTTGGCTCCTGGATTCTTTCTTTTTGGGTTGGATCCACCCGAGGGTGGGTAGCCTAAACCGTATGTGTTCATATAGTCCGTAGACTATTCCCGTCCTTATCGAGGGAGATGCTAACCTTCTCTCGGCTCAACGAACACCATTCTTTCTTTTTAGTTTGTTGGAGGAGGCTCATAGATTCTTTTCTTTTTGTCTGTTGGAGGAGGAGGCGCATGGATTCTTTCTTTTGTTTTTAGTCTGTTGGAGGAGGAGGCGCATGGATTCTTTCTTTTTTTAGTCTGTTGGAGGAGGAGGCGCATGGATTCTTTCTTTTTTTAGTCTGTTGGAGGAGGAGGCTCATAGATTCTTTCTTTTTGTCTATTGGAGGAGTAGGCTCATGGAGGAAAATAACCTTTGTAAGTACGTCTTACAAATCCATACTTCTTGTTAAGTCGTTCTACAAGCTCCTTGATAGGGAGGGGCTCGGCGGAGAACGAGTCTCGGGTGCATCCTTCTTCGGTATACTTTTTTATTTTTGTCTGTTGGAGGAGGAGGCGCATGGATTCTTTCTTTTCGTTCGTTGGAGGAGGCTCAGAGGAGGAGGCGCATGGATTCTTTCTTTTCGTTCGTTGGAGGAGGCTCATGGATTCTTTCTTTTTGTCTGCACAGGAGGAGGGGAGCGGGAGGGGAAGGAAACATAAAAGAAGAACGAAGCGACTAGATGATCGAGTGGTTGGTTGTACCAGTCCAACTCCTTTACGTACGTACAACTATAACATCTGCTAACGTACTTCAACAGTTGAGCAGTACCTTCCTCAGGTGTCAAATGTAATGCCGTACCTGGTCGTTTAACTGACTGGTAGCTAAATGGGAATAAGTGCCTACACCAATTGATAAATCAGTTACTACGGCAGTTGTTGTTGTTGTTGTTGTTTTTAACAACACATTCAATTCCATTGCAAAGGTAAGCAAACAGAGGCCGGTTACTACGGCAGTTTATTGGAACTTCGTAATAAATTTTTGAAAAAAAAACAAAAAAACTTTGTGATAAACAAAAAATACAGTAAGGATTCACTGCTCTAATAAGAGGACAACGACAAGACCAGCGACTTCAATGAGTATTCATGAGAGATCCACGTTGTTCGTGCAATGAGCGGATTCATGGGCGAGAGTTCATGCTGAGCAAGGAGGAGAGGGAAAGGAGAAGGATGATCGCGATGAGATGGATGGTGAAGAGATCTCCCTCTTTTTCTCCCACATCTTCCTCCCTGCCGTGTTCGCCCGAATAGAACGCCGGGTCATTATCGCTCAAATCTAGACAGACGATTGGCCCAAATTCAGCTATGATGACCGGGCGTTCTATTCGGGTGAAGACAGCAAAAAAATTGTCGTTTTCTCATCTTTTCCCGCGCAAATAATCCTCTATTAAGGGAAAATCGAAAAAATCAGGTTGGATCCATATGCATGGTGATCGGCGAGAAAAGCGACTGCCACGCGCTCTCTCCTCCCCTCCCTTGTAAGACAAATCACGTGTCATTTTTCCAAGGAGAACACGCGGCTTTCGATGGTTTAGCGATCGAGCCACAAGTCGGACAGTCCAATCAACCAATACGAAATCAATCAATCAATCAATCAATACGAAATCATGCCCTCTACTTCCACGCTCCAGACCAGACGATCTGCGCGCCAGATGCTGCCGTCCTCACACGAACACAACACACTCTCATCATGAATGTTCCAGACCGGGAAAAATGGCCTAATACATTCACGATCACGAGGCGCTTGTATACGGGGGCTAGGTCCCACTTACACGAATTAAATTAAGCGATATTGACCGTAGATAGCAAAGATCAACGGCCAGATTCTCCTAATCTGGGCAAGTGGGACCTTGCCCCGGGGGAAGAACGTAGGATGCCATTACTGCAAAAACACCATAGCGTCACCGCGCCCTTCCCTGGGCAGCCTCCACATGGTGATGATGAACGGTGATTGGCCTTTTCACCTCATAGAGTTAACAGGCTCCGCACTCCGGTGCCAGGTTCTCTGTAATTCTCTCTGGTGGAACAGACAACGCTGTTTTGGACCAGAGAGGAACAAACAATGCTGTTCTGTTCCACACTTTAGATCCAGTGCAAAATTTACATGTTCCAACCTCCAGGACCAAATGCATGGGTCCTAGATTCCATTTCCATTTCGAGGTCGATGTTACAGTCACATCAAACGAAAAAAAAAAAAAAAAAAAAAAAAAAGAGCCAGCAAGAAAACATAAACCGACTCTTATTCCCATTCACTTCAATTCAACCTAACGTCTGAAAAAGACCCAGTCTCATCTCTACATATATTGTCACATATATATATTGTCACATATATATATATATATATATTGTCACATACAGCCTCCTGATGAGTCGGTGAAACTCCGACGAAACAGTTTGTCACAGCCCCTCGTTTGTTGTCCTCTTCTCTCTCTCTGCCTACGGTTTACCGGGCAGTTCTGTTTGTGACGATATATCGTCACATATATCTATATATTCGTCACATGAATATCAGAGCGCAAAGGCGAAAAAAAACAGAAGAAAAAGAAAAAAATACTTCGTTTTTTATTTTCTTTCTTACAACTCCCCCTGTTCAGAACCTCTTGCGTACAAGGCCTGTCTCTTATACACATCTAGATGTGTATAAGAGACAGCATATCGACCCACTTGCACACAGCCAAAGGGCAAAGAGGCATATGACAACATATATTCATCGTACGGCTGCTTTCTTCAGTTAATCTCTCCGTTCCAGAGGGAACTGGAGATTCAGCTTCCAATGCCGTGCGATAAGTCGCCGCCCTTAGTGAGGAAACACGTTGCGAAAGTGTTTTACCTATTTATGGTGTGACAGAATTAACAACAAGAAGAAAAAGAATAGTGAGTGAAAACAGTGGCCAGCTGCCTTTCGTACACGCATCGAAAGCTCTTCAGTACATAGCCGCGCGTAGTCGTCTCAGCTCGCGCGCACAATCCCCGACGCGTTTCGATCGGTTGCGCTCCGATCATCCTCAGGGGGCTAACCTCATAACTCTACCTTGCGGCCCCACCGTCCATCCTCCCGTCTTACTGAGTGAGTATCAGTAAAGGAAGAAGAAGAAAGTTGAGAGAAAGAGTTGATTACAAGGCATGGGAATTCGGGCATAAGGACAAATCAAAGGGATGACGTTGAAGAGAAGAAGAAGAAGACGTTGGGGGGGGGGCAAAAGATGAGTGAGGAGACACGACGGAGGGGAGGAAGAACGAAGGAAGAGGAGGATGAAGAAGATGGTGAAGAAGCAATGGCCAACATTTGCTTTTCTAACACGAGCTCACTTGACTACAGAGTTACAAATGGAGGAAGACATCGTGTGCAAAGAAAAGGAAAATGAGGACAACGAAGAAAAGATTGTGGGAAGAGAGACAGACAGACACAGAGAGAGAGAGAGAGGCGCGAAAGACGCACAGGAAAGACACGCGCCAGGGAACCGAGGAAGATGAGACTAGACATAGTCATAGTTATATAGAGAGGAAACGAACGAGAGGACAGGAGAGAGGACCAGGGGCCTAACAGGGGTGGCAGACGCGGGGAGGACGGGGGGGGAGAGGAGAGAGCGAGGGAGGGAGGGAGGGAGGGAGGGATCAGATATTTGGTCCTACCGTTAGGCCGCAGCTGGAAAGATTCAGCGTGATGAGAGAGCGCCACTGCTGAATGCGCGTGGTCCAGATTCCGACCGGTCCTTCCGGGATGCTCAGATGTGCGACAGCCTCCAGGCTGTCCCCTGGGAATACCTTCGCCAGCGACAGACCTGCGTCTACGTACGTTCCCCCTCCTCCTCCCGTCCCACTCGTCCTGCAGATTCTAAGTACCCGCAGAGGCTCCCTTCTCTTCTCAACGGCCATCTTGACCGCGATCTTCGGTTGGAATGTCCAGGAGCTCTCCCCTTCTTCTCCCTCTGTCACGATCGTCATCCCAGTATCCACCAGCCTCACGCGTACCCAGTCCTCCGGCGCGGGCAGCGCGACCATCACTTGCGACTGCAGCTTCAGCGCAACAGTCGACTCGTCCTCCCCGACAGTCCAGTCGAACTCCACCCAGTGTTGGCATCGGAGATCGGGATCCGGATCACAGGAAGGAGATATGGCGGCCGCTGTCCCTGGTTTCGGGACAGCAGCCGCCGCAGCTGTTCCAAATTGGGACCACGTGGGCCCAGCAGTAGCAGCAGCAGGCAACGGCCCACCACCAGTGCCGCCGTCGCAGCCATTGCCCCCGACCTCGCCGAACCCCAGGACCAGATGGAACGTCTCCAGCTGGCGCTTGGACCAGGCAGTGGGCCACATGTTGCCCGGCCCTTCGTCGTCCTAGGGATCACCTCCCAAGAGGGGTGGGGGGCCACGCGCCGTCGCCGTCCGTCCTAGCCGCCACGTCGTCGTCTCAGCAGAGCGGCCGGCGGATCACGAGTCCCCCCCTATATTTTGTCACAAAGTTCTTTTTTCTATCTATTGCCCGCAGCTCTGTCGAAACAGTCACAGCCGATCACAACCCGCCCATCCCCCGCCAGCAGTTTCACGACCCCTATCGGTCGCCCGCCAACGACCGACGGCCGACAGCTGCGGAGAACCCGCCACCACAAAATTTGCCGCGCTTACCCCAATGATGATGACACCCAACGCAAAGGCAAACGCAACCACAACACCAGCGATGACGAACACATCATCAACACAACACCCGGCGGCTAGATGCACTACTGTAGTACGTCGCTGGGCTACGTCGCTGGGCTACGTCGCTGACCATTACTAGTATTAAACCCGGACGTCCACCAATGCACTCGCACTTCCTTCGCCGATCGCGATCCCTACCCCCTTGTCATCATCCATCCTTCTTCAGACAGACATCTCCCGTCCCAATGACGACAACATTGATCGACCCTTTCCATCAACAACCTTATAACAACAAAATCCGTTTCCCAAAAATGAAATCAGTCACCTGACCCCCCGGCTCTCCCTCCAACTCGCATTCACTCTTGCTCAATCCAAAATTACCCTTCCCGCTCTCTCCTACATCACCGACACACGTTCATTTCTGAAGCAGAGGCGAGCGTTTCGCACACCCATCTCTCTCTCTCTCTCTCTCTCTCTCTCTCTCTCTCTCTCTCTCTCTCTCTCTCTCTCTCTCTCTCTCTCTCGCTCTGTGTTTGTGTTTTTTTTGGATGTGTGGGTACGCGAACGTGTCCAAATACCCCGCGCAGGCAATTCTTTATGTCTCCCACACTTCGATCCACCGCGGACAAACATGGCAATACCCCACTGCAGCTATAGAGGTTGGCGATGGTCGAGGGCGACGGCGAGTTCCCATGCCGTCTACTGTCCGGCCTGTTTCCTCAGCGCTCTCCACTGGCACGCTGAGACTCTTAGGCCGGACCACTCCCTCCCCTCATGCCCCTCCATCTGGTCTGGTCTCATTTACTTCAGTGAAAGCTTCAGTGCAAGCTTGCGTCACGCAAGCGCATGAGCAAAGAAACTCGCTGATGATCGATGAAAACCCCGGAGTCACGTTCCCCCGCGCGCACTCGCGCCCACCGCTGACCTTCGATCCCCGCGTAGAGTGCAGTAACCGCGCGCACGTACGCCCGCCTGGTGGCGCGCCCACCCATTTGCGCAGTGCACGGATCTGCCATTCTCCATTTGTACTCGCAATGGCTCTATCTTAAATGTACCTGACAGCATTTACGGCCTCAGCTGGATGCAACTGACCGCAAATACGTCTATAAATAAGCGGCAGAAGAGGACTACCAAAATCTGCCCTCACTCGTCTTCGCTGAATGAATGTGGCCGAAAATAAGGGAGTATCACTTCCCGTGGCCCAAGTGGCAGCACCCGCCAGATCGAGTATTTTCTTCTTTTTGTTTTCTTTTTTTTTTGGAGAGGGACTCACCAAATGTGCAATATGGGAATGAATCTTCCGCTAGACCATGGAAAGATTCGCTGCCTTTTTTCTTTTTTTTCTTTTTTTCAACTCGATAGAATTTTATTTCTTTTTTCTTTTTTTTTTTTTTTAACTATACTCTTCTCTCAATTTTTCCTCACACTACCTACCTACCACTACCTACCTCGAACGGGCCCAACGCTGCCATATTTTTGTTCTTTCTTTTATGGAAGTGGTTAGTGGAGCGACGCCCTCGGCATGCGTCGTTCATAGCCGTCCGGACTGCATATCTGATGGCCGTACAGCGGCCACGTCGGAAAATGCGCGTAAACTACTCCAGTCGCGTTGCTCAGACGGGGTGGCGGAAGTCCTGTCTTTTTGTTTTGTTTTGTTTTTTTGGCGGAAGTCCTGTCGAGTATGCGGGAAAAGTGCTCAAGATGTGTGGGAAAAAAAGACTGCTCAAGATTCAGTTGTTCAAACGTCTTTCCCTGTTTCTCTTTTGGTTTCCCAAGATGTCCCTCAACGATTGGGTATTTGACAAATGCCCTTCTGACAGCCATCCAAGTTTGCCACATATCCAAAGCGGCATGTTTTCCACATGCCCCTACCGACACGGGTTAAACATTTTTCTAGATGCCAAGGTACTTCGCCATTGGTATCTTCTTTGTCGCATAATTTCTATATGCCCCTCCTGTACCAGGCATGATTTCCAATTGATCCTGTAAGGCTATGGTGCGGCCTGTGAGTCACTGAGAGTGGCCTGTTCTACCACCGCCATGCCAGCAACTGGCCTTTCCCCCCTTCCCTCCCTCTCTCTCTCTCTCTCTCTCTCTCTCTCTCTCTCTCTCTCTCTCTCTCTCTCTCTCTCCTATCTCTATACCTCTCTCTCTCTCTCTCTCTCTCTCTCTCTCTCTCTCTCTCTCTCTCTCTCTCTCTCTCTCTCTCTCTCTCTCNCTCTCTCTCTCTCTCACACACACACACACACACACACACACACACACACACACACACACACATTGCCCAGGCCCGATCCAGATAAAATAAGAATTGTACAGACCATGGATGAAGCCAGATCACTCAGAAGAGAGTCATAGAATTGGGCCGCAGGCCCACACACCGCGGGAATATCGAGGGTGGGTGGGGCCGCTTCGCCAGAATAGGCGATGTAAACGACTTGTCCTCCGAATGACTGGCTGACTTGACTTGTCGTGACGTGCAGGTTGACATACGCAATGGGTGCAGCGGTTGGCGGAAGAAATCCGGAAGGCAGCCAGCGTGAATTGACTCCGCCCGCTGCGACCGGTCCTTCTCCAGTTACATATACTCTCGCGGCGACTGGAGGCAGCGGAGGACGGGCCGCCGAGGGACTCCTTCCTGCTGGGTAAGTCCCACTGGTCCCTCCTGTAGGTAACGCAGATTCTCAACGCGGAAAGATCTCACCATAGATTCTGGAACTGAAGAGAAAACAGTAGGATCCAAAATAGCCTGGCCGTAAATGACGATGATCAACTGTAACAAAAAATAGATAGATGAAGTAAAGGAAAGAACCACCTCTGAGTTGTTGAGGGTCTTGCAACTGCAAAGATGAGGCCTCAAGCCGAAGACGTTGGGGCCAACCGCAGAACTCCCTCTATGTGGCTTGCTGCCCAGGCCCGATCCAGATAAAATAAGAATTGTACAGACCATGGATGAAGCCAGATCACTCAGAAGAGAGTCATAGAGTTGGGCCGCAGGCCCACACACCTCCTAGACCATCCCAAATCCCTCCATCATCCCACAAGTGACTTGTCATCTTGCAGGGAGTGGTGGAACGAGCGGATGAGTGATGGAAGCTGGCGTCAGAAGCGAGCGACGCTGGAGATAGTTGGAAATTACCGGTCCGTTTTGGAATGGAGCAACCGATTGATTGAAGAGTTTGGTCCTGGGAAGCGATGGCGGAATGAAATGTGGAAGTTTTTTCTTGGGTTTAATGAGTGGCTTGAGAGAAATGAAGTTGGTAGAAGCTTTATGACTTGCAATGTTGTCGTTTCTTAGTAGTCAATGGTTGGTGGAGATAGAGAGCAGATACAGGACGACGGATAACGAGGGAGAGCCGATGGTATCGCCATCCACGGTTGATGCCGTGATAAATTGCTTAAGTGGGAGTTTCCGACTAATGGGACGTGAAGAAGGTGATGATCCTTGTCAGAGTAGCCGCGTGAAGATTTTCAAGAAGTCGTATCGAGAATATGCATTGAGTCGAGGGGTAGTTGAAGAATCAGCACGACCTTTGGAGTGGGAGAAATCGGTAAATGTCATCAAGTACATCCGAAATAAGATAAAGATTCTGAAGAAGGTGCGGGAGGCAGAGGCCTACTGAGATGCGGCGATGTTCTTGTATCTATGGGAGAGTTGGCAGCAATGTGGTGAGGGTTTTGCGTTTACAGTACAAAGAGATAGATACGGTAAAACGAGAAGTGCGACTGGGGTTCACAAAGACTGATAGGCAGGGAGGTCGGTTCCTGATTCGGTTAAGAGAGCCTGACATGGGAGGGGAAACGTTTATGGGTATACTTTCATATTTGATTGTATCGTACGAGAGCATAGGAGTGGATATTCGAAAAGGTTACTTATTTTGAACTGGGAGGGGAAACAGTGCTCTGGGTGGTGGGGCTTTCAACAAACAGATAGAGAAGTGGTTTGGGGAGGCGGGGGTATATGAAGGTGAGAGTTGACATAGCTTTCGGATTGGAGGATTGCGAGCAGGAATAGAGGAGGGGTGGAGTTTAGGAGAGATGATGCGACAGGGAACATAGAATAGTGTGGGTACCTTCATGCGATATGGTTATGGAATGCGGCGTGGATGAAAGTGGAGATGTGACAAGTGTAGTTGAAAGTGTCAAATTAAGTGGAGAAGAAGATGGCGGTTAGGCCTAAAGTGGCAGGTTGGGGCAGGAGTGATGGACTCTAGGGCTGGGAATACAGGAGTATTTTGATTTTGGAATTATGAATTTCAAAGATATGTTAAGAGAGAGTATGCGTGGTAACCAGTTTGCTTTGTTGGATGATGAGAAGATGGGTAAGTAATTTACTTGTGAAGAAATTGCGCATGATATGGCTTGGTGGAGAAGAGAAGTAGGTGGGTATAGCCATCTGTATGAAGGGAATGGCAGTGAGTTCCAATCAAGAGAGAGTGCGTCAATTACGAATGATTTAGAGGTCCATGATCTTGAGATGAAAATTGGGGAAGTGTGATGATAGTCGGAGGCGAAGATATCTATGGTTGTTTCACCTATTGCTGAGAAAATCTCATGCGTGACGTGCGTAGTGATTCCCCAATCAGTATTGTCCTCTATTTTGGAGAGGTTGTCGGCGACATTATTAAAAGATCTAGGTATCCAGATTGGTGTCAAGAGTGTGTCATGGCGAAGAAGTATTGAAGCAATTGTTCGCAGCCAAGGGTTGAAGATAGGATCGGTTGAACGAAGATGATGGATC